AGGAGGAGGGGTCTCCGGCCTCGCTTGCCCAGCCGCCCTCCCCGGGGGTGGAAAGGAGGTCCTCCCGCCATTCCTGGTCCGGGTCCTACAAAGGGCAGCGGAGGGGAGGGCCTCTCCCGCCGGGCCTTCCTCCGGAGCCCCCTTCAGTTCCAGCTCTGGTATTTTTAGGCCGATCCCGAGAAAGCGGGCCTGCAGCAGCCCCGCCGATTGGCAGAAAAGAGGCCCGTTTCTCGGCCGCCCTTCGTCCGGGCGAAAGAAGGCCGAGAGATGGGCCTTCTTCCCAGGCTTTTCCCGCGGGGCTGGCTGAGCTGGGGGGCTCTGAGGTGGCTGCCCTCCTCTGTGCCCCACCGAGGACCAGGGCCTGAAAAGGCGTCTCTTCCTCCCCCGCCACAAAGCCCCCCTATGAGGGGCCTCCAAACGCAGCCCTGGCTCTGACTGAGGGGACGAGGAGGAGGAGGAGGGCCTGGTGTGGGGGGTCCCTGGTGCTCTCCTCCTCCGCGCATGGTGGTTTTCCGGCAGACGCCTCCCTGCCAGATCAGATCAGATCATCAGGGCTGGCCTAGAAGGGCTTTGGCTCTCCTATTTTTCTATGTTAGAGTCATATGCGCCACAGAGTTCAGAGTATCAAGGCCGCCACGGCTCAGCCCTGAGCTACAGATAACCTTTTATGTAGGATCCGCTGCGGCACAAGATCTCCTCTCAAAGGCTCCCTGGACCATCCTTGGGCTGCCATGGGGCTGGGGAAAAAACACAATCCGTTTGTATTTGGAAATTTGGAATTAACTTCTCATGTGTTTGGGTTCACACTCTTTGATTTGGGGTTGGCTTAATATTATGTTTGAACCCAGGTAATTCAACAAATTTTGATCAAACCATGACTTAATGTAATGTTTAAACCTAGTTTGTGCATATATAAGAATTATTTTGGAATTGCAGTCTTGTATGGAAGAACCACCAGATATATTGGGACCAGCACCCAAAATTCCCAACCAGAATTCCCCTTAACTATTCAGGCCAAGAATCCTGAAAGAGGCCGTATGAACAGATTTGGATAGTCTGAATAGAACAAACCTGAAGGTAGGAGTTGCTGCACGCAATGCCCACATTCATACCGCACGGTTTCCACTCTCACAACAGGCAGGGTGCTGCCCCGCATCGGATGTGGGGCTGCTGGTCTTTACACCCTGATGCTCTTCTTCCACCCTTCCATTTCTCTCTCTGGCATCCTCTGTCTTCACCAGTGACAATACACTGTGAGAAGAGCCAGCCCTTGACTTCTACTTTCCAGGCAGCCACAATCTCAACTGCGTTCAGAAAACCATGGGTCCCGGAAGGCAGAGACCTGGTGTTGTGGAGAAATGTCCTGCCACTCCCACTGCTCATTCCAGGCAATCTCCACGGATCTTGGTGATAGACATCCATCCTCCCCATTGGGACAAGACCTGCCACAAACTCTGTGAAGCCTTGGAAAATGTCTTCTGCTTAGCTTGCAGTTTGACAGGCTCACCCCGCATCCCTTCATTCAGCCTCTACGTGGTCCAGAACCAGCAGGAATGCCTGCTGCCCTTCGTGGTGAGTGCTCCGTTACACACATAAGCCCATCTACAGCAGAGTAAAATATCTGAAGGTCCCCGTTCTACTTTTTCATTAGTGATAGCTATTCTGCTCTCATGCAACCTTTGGTCCTTTGGGAATGTGATTTCTCTCGCTTGGGAGATTTTATGGATTAAATATATGGAGTTTAGTGTTCCTCTATCCATGGTGGTCGGCAGCCCAAAGGCCTAAGATACTCAGGTCTTGCAACAAAACAACCTTTTGTTGTAGTAAAGCTCATATCCTAAGCCCATCTTGCCATGTTTGAGTGTGATGCCATTCTTTGCCCGCTCCAGTTAAGTTTGGAGGTTAAGTTTGGGCTTCCATTTCTGGTTTATCAAATATGCACACTAAATTATACTCCGTCCAGCTAAATATCAGGAATGGTTTACTGTGGGAAGACAAGAGAAGGGAGGAGAAGACAGGCTGGTAATGGAGATGCAGCTCTCCATCAAACTACCCACTTTAGTAAAGCCACTCAATGTATTTGATGAAGCAAGCTGCAAGTCACAAAAACTGACACCTTTTTACAAAATGTTTTAGTCAGAAAGGGTGCTACCAGATTCTACTTAATTTTTGGTCACCATAGACTGTCATGGTTCTCCTCAAACTGTCCAGCTAAAGGTTATTTTTAATTGCGTCATTTTTCATTCTTTGCTAATCCATTCTGCAACTTTCACTTTTGAAATCCTTGGTGTTCGCTGAGCTTGTTTGTTAACCAGACATTTCATTACCCAACTAACACTATCAGTGCAAACAGTGTGCAGTTTGCACCCTGTTTATATACAGTGCCTTGCGCTGCCAGTGTTGATGGGCGTGTGGTTTCCCCCTTGGTAGTTCCTTGATAAGGGTGTTTCTTTTCCCCTTGATTATTTGTCTGGTGTTAATCCCTTCTTATTTGAGAGTTGGCTGTTGGCAAGGATATCGTCTTGCCTTTTTCTTTCTTTCTTACCTTTTTTATCGTCTCTTTTGACATCAGCTGTTCCAAGTAAAACTGCCTTTTGCAATTGACTGATAGTGATTTTGTCTGTATCTCAGTGGTATTCAAATGCTGCTCCAGATGTGTTGGAGTTTTTACACCGCGTTTCCCCGAAAATAAGACAGGGTCTTATTTTCTTTTGACTCACAAAATATGGCTTGGACCTTATTATCAGGGGAGGGCTT